GGCTTCCATTACACCTGAGCAGTGCCACAGGCTGATTGTCTCCATGCCACGCCGCACTGATGGAGTAATTCATGCAAAAGGAGGCCCAACCAAGTATTGAGTACATGTACAGTAAATTAACATACTTTCCAGAAGGCCAACAATTCACTAAAAATGTTTTTTTTATTGGTCTTATGAAGTATGCTAATTTGTTGAGATAGTGAATTGGTGGGTTTTTGTGAAATGTGAGCCAAAATCATCACAATTAAAAGAACCAAAGACTTAAACTACTTCAGTCTGTGTGCACTGAATTTATTTAATACACGAGTTTCACAATTTGAGTTGAATTACTGAAATAAATGAACTTTTCCACGACATTCTAATTTATTGAGATGCACCTGTATGTAAGCCATAATTTCCACTGAAACCTAATGGTGTGTGCACACCAAAAGAGAAGTGAATATTTGTATTACGTTACATGGTCTTTTTCCTGCCACTCACATGAATAAAAACATAATAATGCTGTCTTCCATTTTCTGATACAATCGGACATGTAAAATTGGACATGCCAATAAGCTCTTCGCTGATTGGCTTGCGTGACAATACATCAAGTGAATTTCTCGCTCAAGTTGAAAATTTTCAACTTGCATTGAAGATGCGATTGAGACAAATATCGTGTGTTTGCAGCAATCGCGATGCCCAATTTGCGTCATTCACTTTGCCTGGTGTGAATTTGCGTCTTTTCACGTCCTTGCATTGACTCTGTATGTAATCTACTCACAAAAATAATTAAATTCACTTTTGGTGTGCACACACGGTAACTCTACAGAACTTTGAAAATATTGCAACAACATTGTCTCAACCAGTTGCGTGAGTTTGGGGCGGGCTGTTTATCTAAACCAGTGGCAATATGCAGGAGTGTTCAGGAAACCTGTATGAAAACAATCATTAATTTTATTTTAAATCTGAAAATGTTAATAAATACATTTAATTTTGAAAATAAGTAGCACAGTGATCTATTGTTTTTCCCTTTTGTTTTTAAGGGAGAATTTATTTAACAATAAACCCATGTGGCATGATATTTACATGTATGATGTCTACACACCTCCGGTAAACTCCAAAAAAGACCCATTGTGTCAGAAATGCAGCACTGACATATTTATTTTTAATATGGCACTGAAAAGATTGGCAACTTAATGACAGTAGCACTTCAGACCCTCAGAGAGTTTCTAGTTTGTGTACAGAGAGCTCACTGCAGGCCCCCAATGCAATTATAAACAACCCAAACAGAGCAGGACATCTGTGATGAAAAATAAAAGAGTATATTAGCCGATGGGGAGACAGTATGTGGGGCGTTCATCTGGTGGACGTCTAACTGCAATGTGTGTGTGTGTGTGTGTGCATGCGTGCTTGTTTCTCTTGTTCAGTTCTTTCAGGCCAAAGGCCAAACTCACTTCAGGGAACCTCCAGCTGCATCCTCACTGTCTACTAAACTTCGACAAAGTCACCTGCCAGCGCAAAAGTTGCATTCAAACCTTTCTTTTTGTTGCTTTCTCTCTCGCTCTCTCTGTTCTTCTCAACTCCCAGGGTGTCTGGCCTTCAAACAAATGGCCCCAATAAAAGTGACAGCCTCAATATGAGTTGCCACTGCACTCTGATCCCACTGAGCTGAGGTGGGGAGGAGACTCGCAAAACTTCCAGGCTGCTGTTTTTAGTGTAAGTGGCTCACAGAAGCGAAAGTGTCGGGTGGGTTTTCTCTCTCTCTCTTTCCATGTCCTACGAGCGCTTGATTAAACGAGGTCATAAATCATTGGTGCTGATGCGTGGCAGGCCGAGCGGTGGGGAAGGAAGTGACAAATAAACAGTTATGTGGAAAAGGCAAAGTTTCGTATCCCGCTGGCATATGGCTGACAAGCCATGATGAAGGGCAGGCACATTCTCTGCTTTGATGGTTTGCAGACAGACCTCTCTGGGCCACTACCTTCCCCAACCTGGGTGAAAAAAATTTCTCTTTCCCTGGTGGTCTGTCATTAAGACAGGTGGTCGAGAACCACTTGCCCCGTTCAAGGTTTTGATCGTTTTTGAGACAGAAGCACGTCTTCCCACACTGTACCCTTCAAATCACATTCAAATCAACACTGGTGAGATGTGAGACTCTCTGAACAGTGCTTCATTAGAGCTTGTTTCTTTGATACGAGAGCTACGGAGGGGCTAAAATTACCACTGTCTCTGCAATTCAGACTTAACGAGCCAGAGATTCACACCAATGAGTCACTTGCTTTAATTGTTGCTGCGTTACTGCATGAACTCACTCAGAACCATATTGTTTTACTGGTGTGGTTGGTAATAGGAAGACAAAAGAATATCCCCTATTATTAGCTGAGAGGCATAAAAGATAATAATTGCAGCTCTGACC